GAGAGATTTACGCGGGACCCCCCTGGGGGGTCCCTGGTCTGCTCATTCATACGCAAATATTACGAATTGACGCGCTCCACTCCGACGGCCAGACACCGTATCAATAATATCGCGTTTCCGTGCAATTTGTTCCCGCGAAATCTAGCTCCCTTTCTCTAGGAACTCTTTCTACGAAATTACAGGGTGGTCTACTCGATAAATTTATAAAATCGCGCGGATCGTAAAACATGCGCGTAAGCGCTGAACTTTCGTGAAATTCCATCAACGTTCGCGGAATCGGCAGGGTGGTCCGCTTATGACCCGTTGTAAAATACAAGCTTACAAAAGTATTTATCCCTAATTTGTCTTTCGATATATTTTTAATTCTCTGGCAATTGACCCTTTCAGGTGCCTCTCAGGCGCCATAATTTGAAATAAGCGTTATTTAACCCTTTACACTATTTTGACGAGTCTGACTCGTGACGCACTTCGGCCGTGATCAATTTTACTCAAATTTTTAATACGCTTGAAGTTCAAGTTCAATTATAATTTGCATAGTCAACAATTGAATAATAACATATTGAAGAAATAATTCAATTTCTTTGTCTATTTTAATGTTATAGCTTAATTGAGCAGTTCTGACTGACGCACCTGGCAAAGTCATAGTGCAAGGGGTTAATTCTATAATAATGCTCGTGTGATTTATAAACATAGTGAGAATTATTAGTAGAGAAATAATAAACTCAAAAGAACTCATTTAACATTGCAATTAATATTTTAAAGTTGCTGTTTGCAAATCTTCGAGTGCAAAGGGTTGAAACTAAAGTACGACACTTATCTAGTTTTTCGCAAGGAAAAAATGCACCTCTTTCGAAAACGGCGACGAGGCTTGGCGCATAGCTCCCGGAATATACCGCGACAGAAATACGTCCTCGACTCGCTATCGTTTACGCTTTCAGCGTTCGCAACACTTTGACTGGAGAGTTCTATTTAAAACCGCATTAATTGCTCGATTCTTGCCAGCGATTCTCTATTTCTTTTTTGTCTTCCACTCTGGTGGAGCGCGTTAAAACAAGCAATCGATTCGCGTTAAACAACGAAGAGACCCGTGACCCGAGCCCACGTCTAACGAGACATCTAACAGGACCCACCGGGATAGTCGTAACTCTAGCTCGTGACAAGAGTACGAAATAGACCTGTGCGTCCTCGCAGTCGACGTAGATTGAATGCGAAATGAACTCCTAAATGATCGAACAGTCGATATCCGTGCTATTGTCATTCAGTGGCGAGCAACAGGAAATCGTGTGACGACCAAAGCGCGTACTCGTGTCCTTGATTCTTAATAACTTTGAACCGCGTTGTACCTCGCATTCGATAAATCCTGGAAAGTCCCATCGTGAAATCTGGACGCGCAGCTGTGTAGTTTTTCCTCCTCGGTGTCCATTTTCCACGGCTTTTGTCCTCTGATCGACGTTTGAACAAAAAGAAATTCGCGCTGCTTTCAGATCTCTCTGGTGGCGTTGGGGGCAGAAGCAGAGGCGAGGGAGAACGCGTCGCGACGCCTGTCGGAATTCTGTTCCCTCGAGCTGGTAAGCCGCTTTTAATCGATCCTTGCTACGACTCGCATCGATTCGAGAATAGAAACGTGGGATAAAAAAGATGATCAATGGAAGAGAATCGTGTTACAAGACTCTCGATACCTTTTTCTTACATTCGCCTCGATTTACTCTTTGTCGGATCCTTGCCTTCAACTTACTTCTGTTCTCCTTTTCAGACAGAATTCTGGGTTTGCGTCAACTCGACCCTAAACGGTGAGACTCCTTTTCCGTAAACCCTTTTTCCGATCGTAAAATCGTTAATTACTGTTCGTCTCCGTAGAGGTGAAGAAACATGGAAATTGGACAGGAAGAGGTTGTTGTTACCTGGCGCAGAATCCGATATGTCGATCCGCGTGCGCTCTAGCGGGTTCTAGAAAGCATCTGACCGAATCTTGTCGACCTAGCGACGAGCTCGAGTTCTTCTCGTGCTTAGAGAAGCGGGAGGAAGCGGAACACTGCTGCAGCTCCGTCTCCAACGACACCTGTAGATCGATATGTCGGGATCTGTTCTACAAGCCCGGGAAGATCTCGAACTTGAAATTGTACAGTAGCAAAGGTTGTTTTCACCAAGTTCCGAAGTGCCTGAAGAGCGTCGCCGAAGTGAAACACGCAGAGGATCCTAAGCAACGTAAGTAAGTCTTAAACGTCTCTTTTATTCGTTACTACCGCGAATTTCGTGATCACCGATCGTTCGGACGCGACAGATCTGCACTGTTGCAACGAGGCTACCACGCCAGCCTGTCTGGAGACGTGCAAGAGGATCCTGCATACCGCGACCACCGATCTCGAGATCATGGACGCCCTGACGGAAAAATGCAGACCAGTTTTACCCCAGTTGCCGTTCTGGAGCTGTCTGCTCAAGTCCGACTCGTCGAAGCCGTCTCGTCTGCCGTTAGATGCGGGCAAATTGTCGTGCTGCACGAAGGCGAACAAACCGTCGTGCCAGGGTTTGTGTTGGAGGGCGTTTCAGGCTGATTGGGAATCCGCGTGGCTGCAGCTCGACGCCGAATGTTTGTCCTCGAGCTTGGAAGGAGAGTTGAGAAGGTGTCTCGAGGACGCGGACGACCCTTGCGAAATGGGTTGCTCAGGATTGTCCTACTGCGCTCGGTTCAACGACAGATCGACGACGCTCTTCAGGTACAGCGTTCGAGCCTAAGTCTAAACTCGTTATTGACTCTCGATCGAGCTATTTAACGGTGCGTTCTCGTAGGAGTTGCTCGACCGCCGCTGACGAGGCGGCTAAATGGGAAGCCGATCACTGGTCCAGAGGCGGAATCATTCGTGGTTTGGGTGTTCCTGTCCGCGCGGCTGCGTCTTGTCCGATGGAAACTTTGCGCGCAGCTGCCTGCCTGTTGCAGTTAAGACCCTGCGAGCCGAGGATCCACGAGACGAGACTCTGTCGAGAAGATTGTCAAGAATTAATGGCCAGTTGCGTCGATTGGTCCGCCATCACGGAACCGTACACGGCTGTGACGCTGTGCGCGAAGCTCTCGCCGAGCAGATCGGACGCTCCGTGCGTGTCGTTGAAGCCGTTCCTCGAGGACACTCAGGACAACGAGTCCGTCGTGAGTCTCGACGAGGACATCGTGACTCCTTGCAAGAGCAATCCCTGCCCTCAGGGCCAGATCTGCGAGCTGCTTCAGTACGGACGACAAGCGTACCGGTGTATACCGGCCTGCTCTCTGGGAGAGATGTCCAAACAGTTGGTACCGGTCGGTTCCTGGGTACAATTCCCCAGGTTCGATCAACAGTTTTGTCTCAGAATCTGCCAATGCACGTTGCACGGTCTGGAGAAGTGCAAAACCTTGAACTGCTTCCTGGTCAACTCTTGCTGGGTGCACGATCGTTTCGTCGCTCACAAAGCCAACTTTTATCTGGAATGCAATCCGTGTCACTGTTTCGACGGTGAGTTCACGTGTTCCAAGAAGAACTGCGGAGAGTCGCGGATCCCCTCGTTACCCTGCGACTGTCCGGCTCATTACGTGCCGGTCTGCGGACGCCTCGGCTTCACTTTCGCCTCTGGCTGCCTGGCAAAGTGCGCGGAGCTGTCGGCGAACGAGGTGGAGTTCGGTAGCTGCTCGTCTCGGGATCCTTGCGCGTCGAACCCTTGCGACAGTGTCGGAAAGTGCGTCCGGAGAACCAGAGTATGCTTGTCCGGACTCCACAAACCCTGTCCTCAGTACGAGTGCGTGCCTCTCGACTGCGATCCTCGCGACGAGAGCAGCGGGCCCGTTTGCGACAAGGACAACCGTCAACATCGTTCGATCTGCGCTATGATTCGAGCTGGAGCTACGCTGGGCTACAGAGGGCGTTGTCTAGAAGGATGCACGTTGCGTGGTCCCGTTTGCGGCGCTAACGGGGAGGTTTACGCGAACGAGTGCGCTGCTTGGGCCGAGAGAACGGTGGTCGACTACTTCGGACCCTGTGTAGCCGTTGGATTGATCGGCGATCGAGCGGAACCTCGCTGCCCCGATCTGGTGCAGTGTCCTCGACTGATCGAACCTTTCTGCATCGGAGTTACACCGCCGGGTGCTTGCTGTCCAGTCTGTGGAGGTGCAGCGAAACTGTTTTACTCGAAGAAACAGGTTCGTATTTATTTTTATCGTGTACGATATTACCTCTCTAATTGTAAGCAAAAGGGTCAAACGAGATAGGAATTTTCAAACAGTTTAGTACTCTTATCACTTATCGTTAGCGAGGTAGCACCGTAGTATACTTTGTGCAAGATTACAATTTATTTTATCATTGGCAGTTGGAAAGAATATATTACATGATGGACGAAGAGGTGGACAAGGATTCGGTCACGTTGGACGCTCTGTTGACCGCTCTGGCGCGACAAATTCAAGTGGCGCAGTGTGCTCTTCGTGGAATGATGACGCCGGATCGAGACGTGTTCATCGTTATACAACCCACGTCGAAGAGGCCTTCGGCTCTGCAGCTGCGGGCCTGTGTGACGGAGACTGAGAAACTAGTTACCAGAATTTCGGAGAGAAGCTCTAAAATCGCGGCCGAAGTGCCTTTAGGCGCTCTCACCAGAGCGGAAATTGCTCATAGTTATATATCGAGTGCCATCGTCACCAAAGGCTGTTTCGCGCGAATATTTTTTGGGATAATTTTCGTTCGCGTTATAGTTTCGTGAAAAGAAAGAGGACTATCACTGGTTGCGGTAAGAATGTTATTTTAGTTGAATGTTACCGCAACGAGCGATTTACCGAAAGGTGCTGAGCGTTTTTACCTAATGGCGTTATAGTCCGCGATATCGTCGATTTCATGACTGTGATTCTTCTAGTGCCTACGTAATATACAGGAAATTAGCATGTATTTTTGACTATCTTTTCATCTTACCAAAGAAAAAGGGAGTACGTGGAACGTGTGCGTGTAAAGGTACATAATCATCCAAAAACGATGGCCAAGATCGTTAAAAGATGATTATGTTGTAAATAAAGTCTCCCAAACTTAAGTTACCAAACGACGACCACGTGTCCGTGGATTTTTACATTGTATTAGTCGCAGATACGGTAGTCAATAAAAAACAATTACCGACAGAACCGATACTCCCGTAAGCGTTAAGCAAACTTCGTTATTGTATCGTTAAATACAAAGTTTTTGTATAGTCATTTGTAAGTTTAATAAATTTTGTAATTTTACTCGTACGCAATTCAGTGAATTCATATACCGCAGCACTGGAAAGTGCATACACAACGGAAAATGAACGTATTCTCCTCTCTCTTTCTTACAAAAGTTTTACAAAACTTTGTATCGACCACGAGACGCGGTATGCGCTCCGGACGCTTGTAATTTGATCAATTCTTCCTTGATGAGTCGGGAAACCTCCGCCTTGGCTTTGCTCACTGCCAATTCGCTGGTGGACTCGATAGCAAGATACAGTTTTCTTTCTCCTTCGGGAGGAGCCTTGCCAGGCGCGATGTAAGTTCCCCTAACAGTGAGACCAGCTTCGGAGTACTCCGAAATCTGCGCGAGAGCTTCTTTGCTGGTGACTCGCCACCTAGCTTGTTGCGGGAAGTCGTTGATCTCCAATTCCTCTTCGTATTTACGGAAGGTTTGTTCACCGGCCTCTGCGTCGCTCTCGACAAGATCTTCCTCTCGAGGTTGATAATTCAACTTGGTGTTCAATTTCGCTGCCAGTTGTTCCGCGACCGTTTTAGCTGTAATAAGATTAGTAGGACCAGCTCCTTTGAGTATCGCTTCAGCGGCTTGCTGCGTTGCGCCCTTTGCTTCGGCTCCCAAATTCTTGGCTATGTTTATCTTGGATGCCAATCGCCTAGCCAACTCCAATTTATCGGTCGCGCTGGGTACTGGTTGCCCGGGTACTGCGATGTTGGTGGCTGACGGTCTAGCAATTTCGCGAACTGTTCGTTTCGGCGCCAGCATGCTCTCTATTTGCTGGTCAATGTCGTTCTCTATGTCCTCGTCGTCGGAATCTTGCAGACCTAGAGCCGCCTTCTGGAACTTCTTCTTCTCGTTCGCTAACGCTGCTTCGGATTCGTCGAACTTGAATCCTTTGCCGCTGAAGCCACCTCCAGTGTGTACCTTCTTGCCGTCCGCTGCTTGTCGGGCCTTGTATCCTTCCCAGAGCTGACGCAGAGGCTCGGGAACAGGAACCCCTGCCAATTCGTGAGCACGCAGTATATCGCCGGCGTAACGTTCTTGCTCCGACGTAATGAACGTGTAAGCGTACCTGCAAATAATATACCATTTAATCCTATTGTTTTATATAATAACGTATCTCGCTTAACGAGAACCTACCCCTTGTTTCCGGCTCTTCCTGTTCTCCCACATCTGTGCACGTAATCTTCATAATGATTCGGGCAGTCGTAGTTCACCACCAACACCAAGTGCTTCACGTCCAAACCTCTAGCAGCTACGGACGTGGCAACCAATAATTTCGTTCTACCAGCTTTGAAATCTAATATCGTCGAATCTCTATCGCACTGATCGATACCTCCATGAAGCGACATGCACGAATAAGACGCTTTCATCAAATCTTTCAAAAGCGTGTCAGCGTTCTCTTGCTTGTCAACAAATATTATAGTGGAACCTTTGTCCTGATAATGGCCTAGAATTTCCAGGAGTTTGTAAAACTTTTGATCTTCTTCGAGGACTACCACGTGTTGTTCAACGTCCTTACAGACGATCGACCGTCCTCCGACCTGCACTTCTACGGGCCTGGTCAATATTCTTCTAGCTAGTGCTTCCATTTGTCGAGGGAATGTCGCGCTGAACAGTACAGTTTGTCGGTCTGGTCGAACGTTCTCCATGATGCGCATCACTTGAGGCTCGAAACCCATGTCGAACATTCTGTCCGCTTCGTCGAGAACTACGTAAGTTACTCTACGAAGGTTGGTCACCCTTCCGCTGTTGGCAGCAAGCATGTCGATCATTCTTCCGGGAGTACAGACAATTATTTCAGCGCCTCTCTTCAGTTCGGCTATCTGTTCCGAAATACCGGTTCCACCGTAAACGCAGACATGAGACAAGCCCAACGACTTTGTGAATTTTTTCGAGTCCCTTCCTATTTGCATGCACAATTCTCTGGTCGGTGTCATGATCAGTGCGATTGGCCCGTCGCCGTCCGCTAACGGGGGCTGGTCGAGAATATGCCTGAACATCGGTAACAGGAATGCCAAGGTTTTTCCACTGCCCGTCTTCGCTATGCCTATTAGATCGCGACCAGACATAATTGCCGGAATAGCTTGGCACTGTATGGGAGTTGGTTTTTCATAGCCGAGCTTCTTCAGAACTTCCAGCTCCTTTTTCGTGACACCGCATTGGGCCCATGATTTTATAGGCTTCGGACATCCTTTGCCTTTCACACGAATCCCTTCCAACTCCTCTTTGTACGCTTCTACCTCTTCCGGCGTCATCCTTGCTGCATTAAATGATTAACAGAGTAAAACTTCTGCGAATCAGGAAAAAATTTGAGCGATCAAGATACTTACCGATTTCAGGTACTTCTACGTAAAACGATTTTCTAAACGGTTGATACTCGGTCGTCGCATGATCGACTTTGGCTAACTCTCGCTTCTGTTTGTTCGCAATACCGGCAGCTGTTTCGTGTAAGTTTTCCCCCTCTTCCTCGCTAGAATATTCAAGACCATCTTGATTTTGCTCGATTAATTCCCCTTTTTGTTTCTGCACCTTATTTTTGGCTACGCCGGTAACGATAACAACGCCTCCGCTTTGAGTACCTCCCGTACCCGTTCCGTTATTCGCACTCTTGCCGCTTTTACTATCGAGTTTGTTTACCTTGCGAACTTCTTCTTGAACCTATTCCAATAAAACGTTTAATTGTCTGCACAGTATATTTTATGGTAAATACAATTCAGAAAAGTATATAAACCTCTGCCATGAATGCGTCGAGAGGATCAACTTCCTCTTCGTCGCCTTTAGTTTCCTCCTTAACTTCTTCCACTTCTTCCTTTGTTTCTCCATCTTCTTTGACTTCCTTATTGCTATTCTGAACAACGGGAGTCTCTTCGTCACTGTCGTCTTCCAGGGACCACTTTTTCATGGGCAACTGAAGGTTTGCTAATATAGATGCCTTACCATCCTTTTTAGTTGCCTCTAACTCCTTCTTTTTCCTTTCCGCGCGCCACCTTTCTATTCTTTCTCTTCTTTTTTGCATTTCCAGTTCCAGTCTTTTCTGTTCTTCCTCCTAATAAAATAAACTGTTAAAACTATCCGAATGAAATTTCAAACACAAATGGAATTTTTATCAAATTACCTTATCCAATTTAGTGTGGTCAAACGGCAACTCATCGCTATCACCTTTCTCTTTCTCCTTGCGCTCCCTTGAACGTGATCTGTTCGATCGATCTTTGCCTGAACGCGAAGACTTTGAGCCTGTAAGACGCTTTTCTTTACTGTCTCCACTAGTATACCGAGAACAATCAACATCAACAAGTTATTCCATTATTACGAATGAAAAATTTAACGCTAGAAAAGTCAACCACGCTCTAGAAAAATTGAAACTAGAAAAAAATTTGTTAGTATCTTTTATGCATAATAATATACCGTTTTCTGTCACGATCTCTGTCTCTTTCCGAGCGATCTCTTCTGTCGCTTCTTTCTCTATCCCTATCTCTGGAACGACTTCTCCGTTCCCTGTGACGACCTTTATCTCTTTCCCTGTCCCTATCTCTATCTCTACTCCTAGATCGTCGTCGCTTCTTTTCCGGTGTGGCTGATCGAGACCTTGATCTTGATCTCGATCGTCTTCGATGATGTCTATCCCTAACAAATAAATAAATTACGTAGTATCTTTAACCCGATTAATGATAAAATAAATAATAGTTTGTAAGAAAGTACTGAACCTAACCTATAAAACTTGTCGAACGAAACGGAGTACTTACTTGTCGCTACTTCGAACCATGTTTACCGTTGCTATTTAACAGCACGCAAACAGTTTCTATACATTTATGTATTTATATTACGAGAACATTTACAACGAACTTTAATACTTTTATCACAAAATATACGACACGATTCCTTTCGTTTACAAACGCAAAAGGCAATTTGCTCTTCCTTAGCAGTGCTGCCACTGGAGCACTATGGGTACTCGGTCGGTAAAGATGACATTGCAGTATCCGAATTTATCGACAGGGATTGGAACTTGCGTCGGATTCGGAATTTAAAATGCTGTCTACATTTTTAAAATTATTTATGAAAAGTCGGTTCGTTAGTTGTAACTTTATGATATATATTAGCTGCGTTTGACCTTGTATAAAAATACTATAAAAAGTCAAATAACGAAGTGTTTAAAAATTATGTAAATCATATTATAATGAAGTACCGAAACATTTCCTAGTTTGTAGGAATTTCTAGAATTTAAATTTTGCATAATACGGTACGTATTCCGGTCTTGCACGTAAAAGATATATTGCGTGCAAGATCAGAATAATACACCGTAATCTACTTTGCTCCGTCTACTTTGTCTCTACTGAAGGACACTGTAGCAAATATTTTCGATTAAAAAATTCCTTTGATAAAGAGACACGTCTAACGTTCTTAATAAGTTCACATCTGACGGTCGAAATTCGAAAAGGCAGATGGTGACTCGAAGGAAAGTTACTTTAGCAGGTGTAGGGACAGGTGATTGCCACGACTGTATTACCTTCCCTGATATTTTTAGAATCGATATCAAAACTGGAAATGAAGCAACAAGAGACTTCTACCGTACGCACGAAATAAGTGTTATCTATCGGTGACAATAACTGTGAAACGTTATAGTGGTACGCGTTGAATCCTAATTAAGAGACGATCGGTTCGTGCTCACGATAAAAATGTCTAGCTATTCGCTTCTTATGCCTCGTACATATCGCGAGGCTTTGGTTTTTCCCAGGACAACGAGATTTCCGAGCCGATATCGTGCCCCTCTGGTAAATAACCCACGTGGAGGACGTCGAATAAATTCGCCAGTGGAATACTAAACGGCAGTTGCTTCGTTTAATTCTCTGCTGGGTACGAGTCATTCGCGGACGTCCTTTTTTTACGAAAAAGAAGACTGAAGAACTTTGGTAAAATGCTAGAAAATGTAGCATCCGTTTTTCCACGTCTCTCTCACGATCCTGGAGAATCCGCAATTTCTGCTTATAGAAAACGAAAGGTTCTGGCACGAATCCCAATCGGTCCACAGATTCCTGCGAACAAAGAAATAATGCAGTAAGCGTGGTTGACCGGCGACGGTTGCGTGTATGCGCGCATCTTTTCGCATAAAGGAATTCTCTTTAACAATAAGCGATACCTGGACATTTCTAGAAAACTCCTCGTTCGATTTTCTGTTTAAACAGAATTTGGATCGCGATATATTCGTGACAGAATTCTTGGCTATCAATGGCAGCTGCAACGGTTCGCGGATATTTATATCCGTATCGACCCCCGTTGAATCCATTCATAAAAGAATATGAAAGATCGCTAACCCTTCCTCGTAGAGTATAGAGTTTCAATGTCAGTTACCGGAAGTAACTTGATACAGTTGGCTTCCTAACGCGCGAGCGGACGCTTAGCAAACAATAATGCGTTTCATGCGGTCGTTTAAAGATTCGAGTTAAATATAGACGAATGCAATACACGTTCCAAGATTTTAATTGTCATATTACTGCATGGTCGGAATAAGTATCTGAAATACAATTAAATATCGTTAAAATGGGACTTCAAATTAAAAAGACAGTTTTTAAAATAGAATCGATACAAGTAACCTCCGGAATTCTTTGAAAAACGTGTTGAACCAGCAACGACGGAAAATGTGGTTCCTGTGTTTTTCTATGGAGGGTGAGAACCACTGTGGAACAGAAGGGCGCGTGCCAAGAGTTCACATCTGCCGCAGTTGTTTTCGCAGCCCCCCGTTTCTTTCTCGACCACCACTGATAAATGCGTCTCCGTTTTCAAAAAAAAGGCTTCCGCAGGAAGCAGCGACAGACCTTTCCGCTCCGACCTTTCTTTCCTTTCCGATCGCAATTCACCCTCGACGGAGAGAGCTTCGTGAAGTATAATTTTCCTACAAAATCGTAATGTCAATCGTTGAAACTCTACTTAGAAATAATGAAGAAACGTGAAATGAATGAAGCACCATTGTTCCATCGTGAAATACAAAAGTCATAGCAATGATTGCCCATTGTCAGCTGATGCAGTATTCTCTACAAATTGTCTAGACTACAACAGGATAGTCGCGGGAGAAGAGTAATGAGAGGAGGTGCGTTCAGACAGTATGACGATCTCTTCCTTCCTCGACTTTATTCCTCGACGTCGCAACTTGAAGATCCTCCTGAAAAAAGTTTAACAAAATGAATATAATTTTGAGGAGTACATACTTCACGTATTAATCAAATAAACAAACTAAAAGTAGACTTACGAATCATCAGACTAAACAATCCTTATTTTCTTCTCTTCAGAATAAATATCCAAGAATTTAATTCCGGACCAAACATAACTTGCAGTTGATTGTAACGAATTGAACAGGAAGAGAGGGGCTCGAGAAATGACGGTACGGACCTGAACAAGGGCCCAAGGAAGGGGACTAACGCAGGTAAGCAGCTGCAAGCATCTGCAGGGGCAACAACAGCCGCGTGCTCAAGTTAGTCCCGACACAACTGTCGTTGGTGTAACACGTAAAGCGTCATCGTGCTCTTCGATAATCGCGTACCGGTATTCTAACAGAAACTATCTCGGTTTATTTCCGAATCACGCGAAGTCGATAAAGAACCATGGAACTTTGAATAGAATCGTGGAATCGTTTTCAGTTCGGATGACAAGTGAGTTCAATTGAAAGAAGCCTGAGGCTTCGAGATCGTTAAACAAGGTAGCAAACGAGCATACGATCGTATGAAGGTTCAAGAAGAAACAAACGGTAGAAGAAAAAGAAGAAGATGCTGATACTGAAACTGTTGGTGGTATCGAGCGTCTGCTGGATGTGCAAGTGCGATTTGCTGGACCTGTACGTCCAGCACATGGACGAGACGATGAGGACCATGGCGTACAGAAGTAGGCACCATCCGAAGGACATTTCGTCGCGAATAAAGAGGAGTCTGCGAGAAGAACCGGTGCTCAGGGTTGGCACGTTCAAGAAGCAGCGTTTGGACGTCGACAAAGAGTGGTACGCGCAGTGGAAGGCGAAAAGGAAAATCCCTTACAAGGACGATGCGTTAGACTTCCCGAACTCTAAGGAGGAGAACCTTGACCCGGATCAACACGAACTGTTGCACAACCGAACGAGGGACTCCGAAGAAACGACGATGAAGAACGAGACACCTCTCGACACGTTCGACATAGAACTCTTCAACGAGGAGTCCTCCAGGTTGAACGACACTTGGAAACGAATGAGCGAAGATCCAATGTTCGAGTCTCGAGAAGAAACCACGCAAGTCGACGAAATCGAGGGAAACTCTCAGTTCGAGATCATCAGCGAGTCTGGAACAGCTCCCAGTCTCTTCGACGATCCTATATTAAAAAGATTACCGAAATCGAGAGACAGGGTACCGAAGAAGTATATTCCTTCTACGAGTAAGTTAGCGAAGCTTCGTGGCTCGAAGTACCTGGATATCGAGGACACGGTGGACAACAGACCACGAAGGAGCATCAAGGAGCCAAAGTTCACCAGACACGAGATACTGGATGACAACGGCGAGGTCGTCCTCGAGTGGGATCCCTCCGACGAGAAGATGGTCACGTTCAAGGTCACCGCGAAGACCTTGGGCTACGTTAGCATCGGCTTCAACGAGAAGAATCACATGAAGGGGGCTGATATCCTGCTCGCTTGGGTGGACGACCAGACGGGCACCGTCAATCTGCTGGTAAGTCTTTTCTGTTCGATCTCAATCTGTCGTGATCGATGAGGGCCTGAACGTCGTGGTATTCGGTCCTATGATCGATGACCGTCTGAAAGAATAAATTTTGAGCGCTTGTCTGAGAAGTAGAGAGGGTAAGTATACAAAGGGACTTCCGGTTTCTTTCTGGAATTATTGGATTACAATAAAGTGGAACGACCATGACAGCGTATAACAAATACGAGAACGACACGTATCAAAGAACACGTTGCGACGCGCCTTCCCTCCAACGGCAACGAAGATTTAATGGACCGACAAGTTTTTCGCGATTCTTCCCTCGACTCGGGACAGCTGAAGATCTATCGACGTGGATCCTCGTTGCCGTGAATCGAGCTGGAGCTCAAAGAATACAAAAAGAAGACGTAACAAAGAAGAAGGAGGAGAAGGAGAAGCGGATAAAAAGGAGGTAAAAAGAAAAGGAAAGGCAAGGAATTAAAGGAAGATTAAGAAGGCGGTCGAGGCAGAAAGAGAGGTCGAAAACAGCAGTCTGAAGGACCTGCGAAGCTGAAAGGAAGAAAGGGGAAAAAAAGAAACAAAAGGACTATCGCGAGTTAAGGTATCGGCCTCTTCTACCCGACCGTAGAACGAAATCTTTTTCGAAAGGGATCTCTTCGATCCCGTTCGCGTGCACGTTCCGTATTAACGAGTTTCGTTTAATTAACGCGTCACGATTCGGCTCGATTTCGTCACAAAATACATACCTAATAACTTTCACAGCGGATTTTCCATCGTTTTAAATACCTTTTAACCTAACACTCTGTCTAGATTTCTATTAAACACGCGTAAATTAACCGAAGGAATTACTTTGTACCGCAAGACGAAACTCTCGACTGAAGAGAAGAGAAGATATGCAATAGAGGGATTAAAAAGAAACTGGTTATCGAAACCTGCTCACTACCGCTTCTCCGAATTCCTAATCTTAATTAAATTTATATCCATCGAAGGTATGCTGCGTCGACGGGAACCTGTTCGCGGTGCAATTACCAACCTCTATTTACGATTTACGTTTCGCTCGGTGCAATTAACTTCGGGAAACGATCGAGATTCGATGCAACACTGTTAAGTATGAATATTATCGTTCAGGAACGTTTCAAGTATGAGGATAAATCGGTATCTCGTGTGAAAGTCGAGATCGAGGAAATAGAAGCTCGGAAAAGATTCTTGGAACATAATTTACGGTAAAAATTGGCAGCTTGATAATGTAACCTCGCGATTAACCCCTTGCACTATGACCTATGATTAGTCAGAACTGACTAATTACAGCTACAATGTTAAAAGAGACAAAAAAAATTGAAATTTTATGACTATGTTATTATTCAATCGTTGATTATGTACGTTATAATTAGACCTATGCACTATGACCTATTTGTCAGGTGCGTCAGCCAGAACTAACTAATTACAGCTACAATGTTAAAACAGACAAAAAAAACTGAAATTTTATGACAATGTTATTATTCAATCGTTGATTATGTACATTATAATTAGACCTATTTGTCAGGTGCGTTAGTCAGAACTAATTACAGCTACAATGTTAAAACAGACAAAACAAATTGAAATTTTATAACAATATGTTAATATTCAATCGTTGACTACGCAAATTATGATTAGATTTAAATAGTGCAAGGAGTATCGCAGGAACTGTGTTTTCGCAGGAGGTTTTAAAAAATGTCCCTAAGACGTTGTAAGACGAAATCAACGATTACCTGAAATCCAAACCGGCAATGCGAAAAAACGACGGAGGATTTTCGGCTCGAGTTAGCCGATCCTCGAGTGCGACAACGAAGGGTTGAAAAACGAAGAAAAAATAAAGAAAAGTAACGACCAGAACGTAAGCGATGCAGGTGGGAGAGAAGAGAGGTTTTGAACGGCTGGTAGAAAATTAACGAACGTCGTTCCAGCGGTCGAGATAAAGTCATGATAAATTTACGTCCGTCGAGGGCAGCGAGGCATTTCTCGGCCTTTCTTCGATCCACCTTCTCGCCCCTTTTTTACCTTGACGAATTCGAAACCCACTGGCAAACCCGTGACCACTCGTCGAACGCGTGACTGGACAAATTCGAATGGAATTACCGAAATCAAAAAGAAAAAATCGAACAAATCGCCGCGATTTGGTCTCGCTATCGCTTCGCTGAGAAATTTCCGCTCGTTGCAACGGTAATCGCTTGCGGACGAAAAGACGAGGTGGAAAACCCGGAAGTAACAAAAGACTCGATTAGCATTATTAGTCGATCGATAACGCGAGGTAGCAGACCGAAGAAGAGTCGAGGAATGTACGAGCATTTGTAACATCGGATATCGGTTAATACTTTCATGTGCTAATGTACCTGCATGTATACGCCGGTTACAAAAGGTGGCAAAGAGAGTATTCGAGACGTTGCGTGACCAAACGCGCGACGAACACACGTATAGAAGATAAGAAAAGAGAAGAGAGACCCGTCGGCATGGGCACGTTGTGTCCAGAGTTCCAAAGGGGCCCAGTCAAGGCCTCCAGACACCGGCGAGGGGAGACTATACGCGAATCTTTGAGCATCGTTGCAAAGAAAGACGAAAAGCGGTCCTGGATCCAATGAACCGACCGACACGTGATACCTCTCAGGAACAATGTACGGTGTTGCGAATTTCGCTTTAGCAAATCGGTTAATTACAATGCGCGTGACCGATCGGCGCGCGATTACAAAATTAATCCTTAACAATCTACCTCGCAGCGTATAAACTGGATTCTTACAAATTTCGCGAGACAATTTCATGGGCGGAGAAGAAACTTGAGCATGGAGCAACGGGACGTGCACGTACAACGATTACGATCGTAATTTATTACAGAGGCAAGGGAACGCGTTTCGCAAAGTGAATTTGAAATGCAAGGTAATCTGCGATCCGTCCATCTCGTGGTCCAACAGCCACTCGCATAGATCGTTCCCCTTCGACGTGACTTTTTTCTCATTATCTTCGACATGTACCCTCCTCTTCCTTTATCCGGCACAACCAGTTTTCGGTGCATCCTTCCTTTTGTTCGATAAGGATTATCCCGACGAAAGGAAACGTTCTTATCCACTTCGAGGATTTCATTCGTTGATCCTCTGCTCCCTGAAGTTCCGTGTAAACTTTTCGGACTGGCCCCCGAGGCTCGAGGTCAGAACACGCAAGAATTATCACTAGCTGAACCGGCGCCAAACTGGTTCGCGGAAGCTGCTTCCGAGCCGATCATTTCACACGGAACAAGCTGATAACCGGACCTGCAAATTATATTATATTGAAATCTTTTCTTATCGGAGATTTGTTACTTGTCGATCAACTTGCCGTACAATTTATTTGACAGTCTCTAGCTATTCGTAGGTGTAACGTTCAAAGAAACGATAAAAATTAAAATGTGAATATTTTATAATCAGCAATCTTTGATAACGCAAAAGTTGGACCTAAATTTTAAGTTGACTGTTACAAATTTTAATAAGATGTTTGAGCTGTGAGTCAAGGGTGAGTATGACAAGGGAATGAAAACGTAACATTGAAATAAAGGAAAGTTGATGGACGAAGAAACAAAGATTTGCCGAGTAAATTAAACTCGAGAAATTGTGAGAAAGAAAGAAAGGGAGAGTCAAGATCACAGACCTTGACACCAACGTTTTAATTCTCCGATTATTATTCCGCATACGCTCGTAAAAGCAAGCACGATGAGCAATAACGAGCCGGTGAGCGTAATTGCGCGTAACCGCGCACCCTTCTCGCCGCTAGTGTACACGTGAGAACCGGATCGACTTGTACTGTGACACGTTGAAAATTACTCGTATTCTTTCACGAGAGTTAAACATCCAGTGTCTCGGGAAACGTGTCTTGTACGTCCGCGATCCTTTCTTTCTTTTGCTCGACAAGTTGTCAGTGAAATAACTGTGCTTAGACTGGCACGCGATAATACGGATTACTGAGGGTACACGGATTAATCGTTTAACGCTTTAATTTGCCATTGGGAATTATTTATGGCTGGCGATTAGAGAAATGAAACACGGTCAGTTTCGATTGGACTAGAGACCGGTAGGTGGTTTCTCAAAGTTCCCTGAGGAAGGTCTTTTATCCCCTTTCGAGGGTTCCCTTTGCGCTACCAGCTGCTGTTTCTGCCAGCTGGTAAAAAGGAGAGCCCCTATAAACGGAGGAGAGACGGAGCGACGAAACGAAAGGAGAAGAGAAAGAGAAGAGTATAGGGGTCGAGTAATCGGGTTTCTCGAGGCGTTGGAAAGAGACGGACACGTAGAGAGAAAAAGTAAGCGACTGCAGAAAGAAAAAAGGGAGAGGAATACCGCCGAAACGTTCGGAATTGGTGGAAGAAGGACGGAAAAAGAAGGAGAGACTCTACCCCCAAAACACCTGGCAAGCATCGTCCTCATAGTGGCGCCTCATGAGAGAATTTCTCTCTTTTTCATAGGAACGCTTCCCATGGGAACCACGACGTTCCAGAGGCATAAAGAGAAGCGTTTCTTTTTTTGCGGCCTGTATACGGATCGGAAACTATTTCTCAAGATAGATCACACCGATACCGTATTGAAATATTTCGCGGGGATCACGGTTAATTCTTACGTTTCTGAACGTCCAATTAAACCTGATGAGTGAGGATAAATACGCCTACTTTTTAGCTGCGTTTCGTTACGAAATAAACCCTGCGAAATTAGAGACACGTAAAATAATTGAAAAAATGTGCAAAGTGTTCTCACACTTACTTTTCCTTCTCGCACCCCATTTGCTCGACGTGGGCGTATAAGGGGGTCTTTACTGAAACGCACAGGTTTCTCAGAAGACTCGTACAGGAAACGCGAGTACCGATCCATGACGTCACATCCGTCGAATTAATTTTCCGCATCCACGCACGCCTGCCTCTTTTCCCATGCATCCGTGACTTCGTGTGCTTCAAGGATATCGAGCTTTAGCGTAACAATTTCGCGGTTCTTCGTCCGCTTCTCGCCCGTATAATTGCGTCTGCGGAAGATATGACGATCTCTGAACGCACTCGTTGTTCGCAAAAGTAGAGAAACCTGTTTCCGAAAGGAGGACGCGGGAGAAACGAGCAGCAGCTTCTTCATTAGCAATTTGGTGACTCGATTACGGAAATCTCGATCGAAACACTTGACGCGATGCCTTTCCTCTTAATCAAACGAGCATAAATCACGACAATTAAAGCGTCACTACGAGACGAGCCGATTCGAGAAATCACCACGGAATCTCGAAACTTTTTAATCGCCATCCAGCAATTTCAGGGTCGTGTTAATTAGTCCAACGACGATGAGAATATCCGGGTGCTATGAGAAAACCCCTTCGTGAGAACGTGCTCAAACCTCGCCCGAATACATGCCACGACCGGTCGTAATTAAAAAAGAGAATTATTCGTTCTGTTATCGATGATTCTTCGCTGATAAACCCTCGATGGTAGTCGCTGGAGCAAGACAAATTGCCGACGACCCTTTCGACAGAATATTTACTCTGCGAACAAAACAAGAACGTTAGCTTTCTTAATGATACATCTTCATTTTTTTTTTAGCAATACGCGTCACTTTATTACCATTTCCTCTTTGCACGTGCTCGTTACAAAACGCGCAGCAAGCATGACGACGCTCGGCCAATTATTTCGATTCATTACGAACAGGAAGGGGACTTCCCTTCGGCTTCTTACAAACTTTAGCGCCCAACCATAATCGGAATCCAACGGACCCAAACGCCCGAGGCCTCCCTTCTGATGCTCTCTTTTTCCCCCGAATAGACCGTTATCGATATCGGTATTCTGCGGCGTGATCCATGGCGTAATAGTTACGCGAAAAGAATCCGATAATAATTTATGTAACACACGATGTGCCTCTAAGATCTCGGCGTTCTTCAAATCGACTCTGCACCCTAAATCCCTGCATACATTTTTCGAATCGCGTGCTTCTTGAGGATGTCTGGCTGAAAAAGGGTAGAGGAGAAAGTGCAGCAAGAGGAGAGGAATTGGGCTTGACAGAAAGTTTCGGTGCGTCGTCGAACGTAAACACCTGGCGCTCACCTGACCCGATAAACTTCTCGATCTCGTCGTTTCGTGGCCCTCCAGCACCTTTCGCCCGCGTGCGTTCACCTTGCCTGCGATTTCAACATTTTTCTCCTTTTTATTTTTTTAGGACTCGCACGGAATCGAGGATCCAGACGCCGCCTTGGTTACAGACGCGTCTCAAGACGTCAAAGTGATAGGAGGCTCGCAAAACGAGACGCACACGAGCGTAATCTTCTCGAGAAACTGGCAGACATGCGATCCCCAGGATCATCGGCTTACGGTAAGCCTGGAAGCGTAAAGAACAGCATTGTAAGCTTTATTTATTTAAAGCTCGATCGATGCTTCAACATTTTACTCGGCTTACCATCTTCATTCTTTAATTAACCTTTTTAACGTTGTTCTCTTTCGCGACAAGCAACATGACACTTTCGTGCTCTTCGAACTTGTTTCCATTAGCTTCTTTCGACTATCATTTTATAAGAAAGAAGCTCAGATGGTTCCATTCGGGGCAATTCAAAATCGCGAGAGAATAAATTATCCGATTCCACCTGACGGAGCTTGGGAATCGTGAATAGCCGAGAAGATTTACAACGTAGAGCCTGGTAGAATTCGCGAGGAGCCTCCTTTCGATTTATGCTCGGCACGAAAGGACCTCGCGACTTTAGGAGGCCCTAAGACCTCTCCCCGCCGAATTCCCGCAGCGATATTTAGGCGTTTAGCATGCCGTTCGCGACCCTCCATATTCTCCTCGATTCGCATTCTCCAAACGCAGCGGGTTTAAACAGCGTGCTTCCAAATCTATTAAAATACTTCTTTAACGAACATACGCAAGGTTCCTACTTCAACGGAAATCTATTCTAGGGAGACACGATTCGAGTCCTGTGGGCGCTGCATCAAAGCGATCCCGAGCTGAACACCGCGATTTGGCCAGGCGACAAACGCGGAGGTCGAGCCTTGCGCCTCAAAACTCCAGCTCCGCATTCGCCGCCGCAGCACACGCAAGACATCAAACACTGGGACGTAAAGTTGAATCAAGTAAGTGTAATCTGGATCAAAGATGCTCTTGTACTGATTGTACCTAACTGTTGCGGTTAATTATGTTTCTCTTGATGCATAGCCCCCGGTTTCAGACAACACGGACACCACGTACTGGTGCAAAATCTTCAAGGCGCCTCATAAGGAGAAGCATCACATGATCGGGGTAAGAATCTCTGGGAAAAAACGTGTTCGCGAATCGGTGTTCGAGAATACGAATCGATTTGGCGTGAGAAGCGCGTAGGAATGCTGTAAAGGTTGGGCCTAATTCGTATGTACTTCACGAATCACGGTCATCCGTGCCGGACATGGCACCGTGTAGACGGACGTCATTAGAATAAAGAAGGTTCTCCGAATGATGTCACTTCATGTCCGAAACGTTCTCCGATTGTCAATAGAAGCTTCTCGAAACTATCTCCCTGAGAGGAGCACTCGATTCGGTATTCCGAAATTGTTCCGCGTCATGAATTCTCTGCTTCTTCGAACTCACGCGACTGAAATGTTAATAAACGAATTGTTTTTCCAGTATACGCCTTTGGTCGAGAAAGAGAACGAGGATCTAGTTCATCATATAATATTGTACGAATGCGCCTCGACCTTACCGATCCTGGGACAGCACGCGAGGCTCGTCGGTGCACCTTGCTACAGTCCCACGATGCCTCGAGAATGGGAATCCTGTTTGCAACCTGTCCTTGCCTGGGCCCGCGGCAGCGCAGGTATAACCTAATGAGATGACGATATTAATATCGATACCGACATTAGCATTAAAGTCGTTAAAATACAACGTATCTCTCAGGCGAATGGCTTCCGGAACACGTCGGTATACCCATCGCGGAACATTCAGAAGGTTCTTACTACATGCTGGAGGTACATTATAATAATCCTGCTATGAAGAAAGTAGTCGACAGTAGTGGTGTGCGACTTCACTTGACACCGAAGCTTCGTCCTCAAGAAGCGGGAATTCTCGTGGCAGGTGTAGCCGTCAGTCCTCTTCATCTGATACCTCCGAAGCAGAAGGAGTACGCGACGGCAGGATACTGTACTCCTCACTGTACGAACACGGTAATGAAACGCTCTTAAGAATCATTTAGCCAAGTTCTCTATAGATCATTATAAAGATTCTTTTTACAGATGTTCCCTGAAACCGGTGTGAACATTGTCTCGGTGGCACTGCATTCCCACCTGGCCGGTCGTCGTCTGAGTTTGAAACACATTCGCCAAGGCAAAGAGTTGCCTAGGATAGTTCAAGACAACCACTTCGACTTCGAGTACCAACAATCTCACACGTTAGAAAAAGAAGTTAAGGTTCTTCCCGGTGACGAGTTGGTCGCTGAATGCGTATACGGCACCCTGGACAGGACAAAACCTACTTTGGGAGGTTACGCCGCGTCTCAGGAAATGTGTCTCGCCTTTGTGGTGCATTATCCAAGAACACCGCTTGCTGCTTGCTACAGTATGACACCGGTTAGGGACCTGTTCAAAACTCTTGGAGTGTACAGCTTCAAGGGAGTCACCATGGACCATTTGGAGAAACTGTTTCTGACCACCAGGTATGTTGCTGCATGCTGAAAATAGTAACAGTAGCTTTCGAAGAAGAATCACATTATTTATACCTTTAGAACAGATACAGTCACGATACCTTCCACGGGAACACAGCAGCTTCCTGTTTATCCAGCCACCAGACCGAGTGAAGAAATCGACGAGGACCTCATCAAGGAAGCAAAGTCGATGTTAAAGGCTATGGGAGACTACACGACGGAAGAAGATAACGATAACGTGTTCTCGAGACTGATCATCGAAAAACCTGATGAATTCAGAGGTAAATGTCTTGAATATAGTTTTAGCAATTTGTGAAGGAGATATGGTAATATACATTTGATTAGGTCGAACATTGGCGGAGCACATGTTGGCATTACCCTGGACTGAAGAACTCCTTGCAAGGTCTATCGAATGGAGCCTCTATCACGGTAGACACTTGACCTTCTGTAGAAAAAGGGACGACAAACTTGCCTTGGTAAAATACAAACTTGATCTACAAACACATCCTTGGCGTCGGATGTCTTTTAACTGCTTCTCTTCCTTACAGCCAGCGAATATCCAAATGTTTCCAAATTACACGGCGCTACCAGAAGCGAACGAAACAACGTGCAGCGACATTGGAATATCATCCGCCACATCCAGAAGTTCGTACTCCGATTTCCTCGCTTTCTTCACGATCCTGATCGCAACGATCATCGTGTCGTGAAGTTTAACCAGACTTATGAACATCTTGTACATTAACGCATCTTTCTCGCTCACGAATCGTAACTGTTCGAAACAGGCTGAAAATGAGCGGAAGTATAAGATATATGGGCAGTTCCTCTCTTCGTAGAGAGACAGCAAAATTTTCGAAAAATTTTGACAGTCCAAACAGGATTTATATATAGATATTATAATATATGTAATGTAATGTAAATATACCATTAACATATTTATAAGATTCATGCGCTACAAGCCTTCCTGTATTTTATATTGATTTTGTAAAAAAAAAGAAATAAAATCCTCTTTTGAAAATTTTTGTGCTTTTTATCCATAGTCTTATTGTTAATAAGTTATTAAATATACTTATTGTTGATAAGTTAACTAATACAACATGTTAACAAGTTACATAACATAGTATCTATAGTTAACTAACATAACATGTTAACATGTTAATAAGTTAAATAACATAGCATCTACAGTTAACTAACATAACATGTTAACAAATTAAATAACATAGTATCTATAGTTAACTAACATAACATGTTAACATGTTAATAAATTAACTAACATAACATCCATAGTTGACTAACATAACATGTCACGACAATATTATATTTCAAGTTATAAATTCCGGCTTAATTTTAGTAACAAAGACCAAAGGTTTGAACCTTTCGAGATCGATCTCGCTTTGGACATCGCCTACACATCCGAGTAACCGACATATCAGTTGCTACCACTCAGGTGTGTCCTGGCTCGCAATTTTCTGGATGATTAACCAATTACGAAGGCGTTTGCGGTAGTCTCACTACGACGCATCACCCGGTTCGATTTCGTTCACGGTGATTTTCACGTATTGGAATATAGGGTCCCATGTGGTCGGTGCTGATAAGCACTGAATTGAACTTATATCAAATTGTGGCTGAACCTCGCTGGTATAAAAGCTCGGCTTCTTGGGACTCGAAGCATCAGCAGCTCTCTGGAGCTCCAAGAAGCAACAACAGATCCTCCGAGCTTCTGGACTGCAACATCCGCCGATACAGTTGTTCCTTGAGAAACAGAACCAACTAGGTAAGTACAGAGCAAAGAGAAAAATGTAAAGTATAAAATAGAAGAGTTTCAATACTGTGCTGTTACGATTTGGCATATTTTAAATATTCTAACTTTGATCATATTTTTAGAAGATAATACTTTAGTTTAAAAATAGTAGTTGTTACTAGTAATTTTTTGAGTGTCTTTGAAAAGTATTGAACCCACTATAAGATTTCAATCGCACAGAATTAATACATTAATATTCTATGTATCAAGAGGGTTCCTCAACTTTTAGGATGCGACGTACGAGGTACGTTGCACTACCAGTACGGGCATGGCAGTACGTCGGCCTTCTGGTAGTGTCCCTCGCCTGCCTGACGTTAGGCCTAGTCTCCAGGGACAAGGAAGGACGAGCAGGCAGTCTGGCAGGACCTGAAATGGAACACCAAGCGCCTCATAAGTAAGACATTACCTTACTATCATATTAAAATAATATCTATTTCTCTACAAAATATAAAAATTCACAGAGTGGATGCCTGCCCTAACTTGAGCCCTTTCACCGAGTTGCCTCTCTCCTCAACGCCGGACCAGACCAGGACTTCAAACACATTTAGAGAAACCAGAAACATTAGGACTTCCTTAGTACCGGCTAATCTCCGCGTGTCTCGATCGCGAAGCGTGGATAGACTTCAATCGCGAGTAGATTTCAGAAGCGTGGACAGATTAGCCAGACAGGAAACCAATGACTTCTCTAGACGTACCATGGAATCGAGACTTAGAACTAGGAGCCAGGATCGTCTCAGACGCTCGTCCGACCCAACAATCCGGCTTTCACGAAGTGTGGACGATCTTACTAACCAGAGGCTGTACAAGAGATCAACGGATACGGAAAGGCGTCGTGAATCGAACAGGCGTACGAACGAGGCTTCCCGAGAACGAGAATTAGTGCGATCCACGGAACGACTTGCGAGAGAACGAAACGATCTTCGTCGAAACGACAGGGCTTTGAGGAACATCGAGAGCCGAAACCGAATGCAATTAATTAGAGACTCCAGAGTAGAAGATCGTAGATCTCTTACCAGATCGGAAGGACGAGAAAATATTAACGAACGCAGGGAACGATCGGATGAACGTAGAGAACGGGTTAATCGATTCGACGAACGCAGAGAACGACTTAGCCGATCTAGCGAACGACGCAATTCTAATTCTCTCCGATCACTGAACGATTCAGAACGCCGAGAAAGGAACCGACAATTGATTCGTGAGAAGCGTGAATCTCGACTTGATAGGACAACCGAAACTCCTAAGACCTCAGAACGACGAGTTACGGATAGGGCAAATGATCGAAGATCGGAACGACACTCAACTTCTAGGCAGACTTCGGAAAGACGATCCACATCCCCTGAATCCAGAATTCGCGAAGAGACCAGAGTCGACCGACGATCCAGGGAAAGGAGATCCGACCGCCGTCTCGAAGAACAAAGATTCAACCACCGATCCTCTGAACAAAGATCCGACCGCCGCCTTTCAGAACCAAGATCCGACCGCCGTCTCACCGAACAACGATCCGAACGCCGATCCATGGAACGAAGAACCGACCGCCGTCTTCCAGAACAAACATCCGACCGCCGTCTTTCCGAACAAAGAACCGACCGCCGCCGCATCGAACAAAGGTTTAATCATCGATCCACTGAACAACGATCAGACCGTCGTCTTCCGGAACAAAGATCCGACCGCCGTCTCGTAGAACAAAGATTCAACCATCGATCTACCGAACAGAGGTCCGATCGTCGCCTCTCTGAACAGAGATCCGATCGTCGTCTCCCGGAACAGAGATTCAATCAGCGGTCCACGGAATCGGGGTTTGATCGTGCTACGGAAAAACAGCTTAATCGTCGCTTATCGGAACAGAGGTTAGATCGTCGACTCATGGAACGTAGGTCTGATCGTCGTCGTTTGGAACAGAGGTTTAATCAGAGGTCTATGGAACAGAGGTACGATCGTAGAGAGAAGGAGGAAAGATTTGACCGCGTCCGCGCTGAACAAAGGCTTGATCGAAGATCCGCAGAGAGGAGTATTGACCGTCTTCGTAATGAACGACTTGATCGAAGATCCACGGAGAGAAGTATTGACCGTCAACGCAATGAACGACTTGATCGAAGATCCACGGAGAGGAGTATTGATCGTCATCGCACTGAACAACAACTCGATCGAAGATCTACGGAGAAGAGTATTGACCGTCTTCGTAATGAACGACTTGATCGTCGATCAACTGAAAGGAGTATTGACCGTCTTCGCAACGAACGACTCGATCGCCGATCCATGGAGAGAAGTGTTGACCGTCTTCGCAACGAACAACGACTGAATCGTCGATCCACGGAGAGGAGTATTGACCGTCTTCGCAACGAACAACGACTGAATCGTCGATCCACGGAGAGGAGTATTGACCGTCTTCGCAACGAACAACGACTGAATCGTCGATCCACGGAGAGGAGTATTGACCGTCTTCGCAACGAACAACGACTGAATCGTCGATCCACGGAGAGGAGTATTGACCGTCTTCGCAACGAACAACGACTGAATCGTCGATCCACGGAGAGGAGTATTGACCGTCTTCGCAACGAACAACGACTGAATCGTCGATCCACGGAGAGGAGTATTGACCGTCTTCGCAACGAACAACGACTGAATCGTCGATCCACGGAGAGGAGTATTGACCGTCTTCGCAACGAACAACGACTGAATCGTCGATCCACGGAGAGGAGTATTGACCGTCTTCGCACTGAACAACGACTTGACCGCCGATCCACAGACAGAAGTGTTGACCGCCTCCGCACTGAACGCCTCGACCGCCGATCCACAGATAGAAGCATTGACCGCCTCCGCACTGAACGACTCGACCGCCGATCCGCAGACAGGAGTATCGACCGTCTCCGCACTGAACGCCTCGACCGCCGATCCACAGATAGAAGCATTGACCGCCTCCGGACCGAACGACTCGATCGACGAAACTTGGACTCGCGACGACAGCTCCTGCAAAGACACGACATTAGCCGATTGCCTGCAACTCGCTCTATGCCTGAACTTTCTGTCCGCTCTAATCAAAAGGAATACAGACTCACAGACAGAACTCACACGATCCAAGCAGCTCGTCGATACGCAGACAAGAATTCTCGCAGCTACTCCGTCCGCAGAGATTTATCAGAAGACGCTCTTCGCAGACAAGCATCTCGAGACCAGCTTCGTAGATCCATCCGCTCCTTGGAATCACGGGAAAATCTTTTGAACAATGATAGGATGAACGTTTTCAGCTCATCCGATTTCCTGAAAGAAAAGAATCCTATGAATTATAAGCTGACATATGAAGTTATACGCCAGGCTGTCGTTATTGGTCTCTGTACTATGTACAGTTTATCTCTTTTCTGTGGAAAACGATCCTTCGTGAAGTAAGTGTCTACCTTATTTCTTTGCTAATTTGACTAAATTTAAAATATTGTTTCATTTGTTTGTTACAGCAACTTAGCTATGCGAGCACCGCGATTCATGTTATGGTAAATAAAGAGGCTTACCCACGCGAAGAACCAACGTCCGCTACTTTCATGACCTGCTTCTAGTCACTGTTCTAGCGTAATACTTGCGTTTGCACCGTTGCACTGTACTTAGACAAATTTCTACACTGTATATTAATGTACAGCTAATATTCTATGTAGAATCACAAATGTATCGCATGTAAGAAGATATATTTTGTCCGAATAAATTGTTCAGATCAAAATCAAATTTATATTTATTACTTCAAAGTACTCCTCCATCCGTTAACTATCCTAAAAAAGAAACCAACACTTACTATAGTAAGATTTACATAAAATCTAAGAACAATTACATAAAATTGATTTTAAGTTTAATATAAATACTTTCCATCGCACACTTCTAAAACCTGATGAATAAATAGATGGGAACGTACAGTCAGGCTGAATGATCAAAGAGAAAAGTAATTTATTAAAGTCATAATCTCGTGGTTTGTACATTACGGTCGGCTTAAAAATAATTATAAAAAAATGCAGTGGTTTTGACATTATATCCAGTCTTAAACAAGTAACTATGTTTTGCATGATTACAATGATTGAAAGAAATGGGAAACACACCTTGAAGAAACTTCTAAAATGACGATTCTGAAAGAAAGATTTTTTAATGATTACATCTAGAATACTTCGATTTTGTGCAATACGCATGTGCTCGTGACGATATAGAGAGTCGATCGTGTTTGCTGAAACTTTTAATAAACGGCTACTAAAATGTATATAAATATATCGTACAATATGACGATTCGATTACAAATGGATTCGTTGATAGTGAAAAATGTGTTTATATAAATACGAAATAAATATAACTATTCGATACGATGCTTATATGTACAAAACGCAGTCCGGAAAAAGCTTCGTGTAAAAAGAAAAACTATTCATTTCTAAGTAACTTTGGAAGATATCTCGTTCGCGAAAATACTTCTACGTTCTTTCTACGTTATCCGTCAAACCACTTTGTCAACAAGTACAGCGCTAAAACTAGCAGTCCATCTTTTCATTCTTACTGTTAACCTTACGTTATTAGATAAATAAAAAGTTTGCAGTTTATAGTAAATATAGATCAAAATATTTCTATCTATGTTTGATATTTTGACTATTGGTTTTATTACTCCGACTATGGACGATAGAGTCCACGCGCGTTGAACGCACAGTGGCAAGAAATCAAAGTCGACGAGAAGTTACGATAAAACGGTAACTTCTTCCGCCATTTATTTTACATCTTTGGCAGTGATCCCAGTCGATCGTTACGCGTGAACCATCCCGAGATCGATATGATTTCACTGGTATTCCATACCTCACAGAGAAAATGACTAAACATATCATTCGCCTTCGTGGAAGGATCGATAATATTTAAAAAAAGGAAAAAAAACATCGATCAACATTTTGGACATTTGTGCATTCGTTTACACCTAAGTGCTTAACAACGCGATAACTTCTTCTAATGAATGTTCAACGCATTACGGTCATTTGCACGCGTAAATTTAGAGCTAAACAGTCAGAACACGTTAAGTACTATAAAACGTTAATTAAAAAATTCATCTAATTAGACGTCCATACTTTCTACGTCTTATCAATTATCTGAATTTTGATTATATCGAACATTCAACGATTAAAAAAAGAAAGTACACGTATTTTCACGCGATTTTGACTGCAATGCGTCAAGATCCATTTCAGTACGTTCAAGCATACGAATTATCACAATGCTCGACGTCGAGTCGAGCAACGTCTCGTTCGAAGTACATTATTGCAATCAATGGACGATTTCTCAGCATTTTATGAGCACCACTAAGCACACACACGTAGTCTAGTTCATTAAAGTCAATGAACATTGGCGATTTCTTGAAGCATTCCAAGAATATGATCCAACTCTTGTCGGAAATAACATAACTGTCGATTTTTACCCTTTTCGTTTTTACAATCCTTGCATTGGGTTCGATTCCGAAGTAAATCACGTACCAAGCTCTGCAACGTCATCTCCCGACTTTCGTGCCGCTGCTGGAGAATCGTTATTTTATCCTGCAACAGCTGCAACTGTTCCGTGCTCTGAAACGAAAGCGTACAAAAATAAATAAATGAAACTAACTCTAAATCCTAGGTTAAAAGATACTTTACGTACTGGTGTCGATAAGTACTTGACTTTCTCATTCAACGTTTTCACCCTACTCTCCAAGTGATCCCGTTCCGCCTTCAGAACCACCACCTGCTCCTTGTAGTCTTTCAATTTTTCAATTTGCTGCTTCAAGTGTGATATCGCCGCCAGCTGCGAGTTTATTTGACTCTGTAGATAAAAGCAAAATATGTGTTGATCTTGTTACATTCAATGGAGTACTACGTGCACACTGTACCAGAGCAAAACAAACAAAAAGGTAATGATAATGCACGTAATACTACGAACCTGCAACTTTACCACTTTAGAGTCCCCAAACTTTACGCTGTACTCTTTCAGCAAGCTAGCCATCTCTCGTTCGTGTTCCTCTTGCAGAAGATTCAAGTCGTGCAACCGTTTATTCTTCAAAGCCATAAAGTCCTTGTTCATCTTGCTCAGTTCTTCCTTCAGAATATCATTCTCGTCGGTCAACCTCTTTACCAGATTGCTGTCTCCATTTTCTGTGTACTGCATGGGATCGTACAGCTTTTGAACAGAGGCAGACAACCGAGAATTAGAGTCGGGCACGTGTCCGTTCTGATAGACGTTCGAATTCTGATCGTTTCCTTCAGTGGACTTCAAAGTCTGCAACTTTGAATCCGACGACACCATAGCGCGATTCGTCCTCTCGAAATCCATACTTTTAACAGATCTTCTGTCGTTCAACAACTTCTCTCTTTCTTTCTGCAACTTTCTGTTAGTCTTCTGCAGCTCCTGGAATTCTTTGGTGAGCTTCGATAACGCTTTCTCCTTATTCGTTAGTTCCATCTTCAACCCACGTATAGTAGCCATAAGATAAGCGTCGTCCTTACAATTCTGTGACTTCAAATTAACTTTAACGGGCGGCTTCTGATCTTTTTTATCCTCCTTCTCAAACGAACCGGCTCTCTCTTCCTTTCTGATAGTCTCCACACTCTTGTTCTCTACATGCTTAGACGTTGTCTGAGTGAACATATCATTGTAAATTTTCCTATTCTTAGCAGTGGACTCCAGCAGTTTCTCCTCTAGTTCCATTATTTGCGTCGTGTATTTCTCCTTCATGTCAGAGAACTTCTTCTGGAACTCTACCAACTTCTGCTGCGCTAGATCATCTTTTGCCTTAATCTCTGCCTCCAAACTAGAGATCCTATCCTCCAGTAGCTTCACCTTCTCCGCACCGATTTTCTCCTGCTCCGAATTCGCGGTCAGTATAAGAGCAGATACAGAATCTGGATTCTTCCTCTTCAGTATCCTTTCCATCTCACGGACTTGTCTGTTCAAATCCGTGATCTTCTTGCTGTCGAGGATCACCTGGTCTTTCAATTTCTGAGTTAGAAGCTTCTCGCGTTCCACGTGGCTCCTAGCTACTTGCAGCTTCTCCTGAAGACTGCCTTCTTTCACCCTCAGCTCCAGTAATTCCTTCTCCAATGGAAGCACGTTCTGCTGAATTTTATCCAACTCCTGTTTCACGATTCGTAGCTGTTCAGTCTTGGAGCTCAGTTTGATCGTCAGGTCCTCCACCTGCTTCTTCAGTTCCAGCTCGACGGTGGTCATCGCCTGCAACCGATCCGTGATGAAGTCGTTCTTCGTCCTCAGTTGTTCCCTGAACATCTCTAACTCGTCGTTCAGTAAATTATTCTGCTGTATTACATCCTCGTTCTTTAATGCATAATCAGCGTTCTTCTCTCGAAGCTCAGATATTTCTAAATTCAATTTCAAAGCCTCCTCCTCAAGATCCTTGACCTTATCCGCGAGTTCTTGCATCTTACCCGACTCCAGTGCTGTGCTCTTCTGTTTCTGAAGCTGTTTCATTTCCTCCTGCATGCGTTTTGTGCCCTGCATCAATTTTTTGTTCTCACTTTCATAGGCGCGAATCAGTTTCTCTTGCTTCTCCAGTTCTTTTTCCAGAAGAGTGATTTTTGTGTCCTTCTTGGGCTGAGAGTCTATTCGTTTCTCATTCAACGAGAGTTCATCTACCCTTGCCTTCAGAGTTATGTTTTGTTTCTTTAGCGCGAATAGTTCTTCCTCGAAATTTATACGCATATTGTCTATTTGGTTTTTGTACATTTTCACTTCGGACTCTAATTGTTGTTTGAGGAGAGCATTCTTGTGCCTCTCCTCGCGACACAAGGTCTCCCAATTCGGTCTCAAGTTGTATTTCGTATCGCCACCAGCCATGGAAGGCTTTGCGTGAGTGTCTGGAGACGTTGCTTGGTACCCCTTATACGTGGAAGACAGAGAGGAAGCGGAACCAGTCTTTAAGAGATCTTTCTTTGGCTTTGGCTGTACCTTGGTCTTGGGAGGAAGCCTAGTTACCGGTTTTACTGTAGGTTGAAACTTTGGCTTCAGTATCGGCGATCGTTTGATCTGAGTGGCAGGTTTTTTTACAGTGTCAGGTTTGGCAACTTTTAAGTTTTCCACGGATGTTTTGAACGGTGGTTTACAGATCTGATCGTAGCTTTTTGATTTAGAAAATTTTATCTCTTTTTTCTGTGGTTTACTACTCGATGCGCTAACTGGATGAACGGATTTGTGTTGACTTTCTGCGCTGCTGCGATGAAAAGACGAAACGGCAGCACTGGTTTTAATCTCGAAATTTGAAGTAGTCTTGCGAACGGTTGTTTTTGTATCTTCGGGAACTTTGCTCTGATGCATTGTATTTTCTACCGACTTTTCAGCTAACAATTTTGGGATGGCGTCCGCGAACAACTCTAATCGAGGTGTGAGTCCAACCGAGTACAGTTCTTCCTTAGATTTCTTTGACGTGGTAATTTTGTTTGGAGATTGATCTTTTTTACTGGCCACCTTCTCGCTTCTGCTGTTACTGCTAACACTTTGAGACTGTTTACGATCTTCGTCGCTCGCGCTGCCATCCGATTCAACAATTTCATGCCCTAATTTTGGACTGACTGTTTTAGTCAGTTCCTTCTCTAATATGTCGGAAATTTCTTTTTCTGGAAATTCTGGGCTTTTCTCGTTCATGGATTTTCCTTCTACTTGATCGTCCGAAGGTTTTAAGGGAAGATTATGACTAGGTTTAGGTTCGTTTGATTCTTGTTCCTTTTTGTCGCTCTGTCCTTGTAAAAGTTTCAAAAAATGTGAAAAATCTTCTTGTCCGAAACTTGAGCTACCCGACATACCTCCTTCGGCTCTTTCTTTTGACTTCCTTAACAAATCTTCAAAAAAATCTTTATCTACATCAGTTATTTCCTTTTGCAAATTATCTTTATCCGATTCCATCTTTCTGGTACTCTTTAGTTCTTCTGACTTGGAATGCCTTTCAATCGGATCATCCAAATCTGAACTGCTGGATACTTCTACCTTCTGTTCCTCGAATCTCCTCCTTTGGAGTTCCAAAGTTTTTGGAGCTTTCAAGTAATTCACGTTTTCGTATAACACTTCAAAACCAGGACTATCATCGCTTTTTTTCTCGTTCTTTGGACTTTTTTTTATCTTCTCTGTCTCCTTATGCACCTCTTCTTCTATCAGTTGAAAAATGTCAGCTTCTAGTTGTCTAACCCTGTTGAGGCTTTCTATGTCCTCAGGAATATTTTCAGGTACTAAAGTATCAGATTTTGATCCGCTCTTAGATAAACTACTACTATTTTTTCGTACAAGTTTTTCAGCTTCTTCTAATAATTCTTCCACAGATTTCTCCTCTTCTGTAGGATTCTTAATAGAATTCCTTGACTTTGTACGATCTGCGGCTGAATTAGGACTTAGTGCACCAGCAATCTTACTCATTTCTTCTAAAATACTACCAATATCTTCATCAGTTGCATCTGTAGAAATTATTTTGGACCATTACTTTCCATAAACTATGCAAGTATTGCAAGTTGAATGTTATATAATGTATATGAAAATACTAACTTTCAAAATCAGATGGATATTTGTCAAAAGCTGCAGAAGCTAAGATGTCGCACAAAGTATCATCCCTGTCTTTTGTCTCTATTTCATTTCTATGCATATCCTGTATAAATTCAATTAAGAAAAATGTTACAAAAATTATTGGCTGAAAACTTATTTTATATAATGCTGAATACTTTAATTACTTTGCACATCTTCTCTTTTTCTAAAAATTCTTTCATAGAAGAACTGACATCCGGTGAAATGGATGGGGAAGGTTTTGTCTTTGCTTCTGCTGGAATATTAGGAATATCTAGGCAGGTATCTGGCTTCTTCAACCACCATTGTTCCTTCTGATCTTTCTCATTTTTCTCCTCTGGTTCAGATTTCTTAGATACTTTAGGTTTTTCTTTTATTCTAATTGAATTTTCACCCACACTAAGACTAATTGATGTACCCAAAGTGTCATCTTCAGTCGAAATCAACTGCATGAATTAAATATTTATGAAATTGTAAATTTCACAGAAAATTATAATCATTTTACTATATTTAAAATACGTGTTATGATATAAATTTATTTAAAAACCAGTGAAATAATACTGTATCCAATGCGTCAAGTGAACCGAAACAGGTTAGTGTCACTAGTCTATAATAATGCACATACTTACGTCCTCATAACGAGGGGACTTTTTCGGAATTGAAGACATTCGGATTCCTTAATAATACTTTTGAACAATATAAACAGAATAATAAATCATGTTTTCAAAATCGTTTGACACTTGCCGTACTTTTTGTTTGTTTGCGGTTTAATTCGTTCGATGGTCGTCTCGCAACGCCCTCATCTATTGAATAACGTGTGTGTACATATATATGTATACATATTGTACGTACATAATGACAGACTTTTTTAAACGTCATAACATTAAAATAACTGTCGGAAGGATTATGCAGTAGGATCATTAATGCATCATAAATAATATTTACGACAAATGGAAATATGTTTTTGCACTGTAATTATAATTTATTAATCGATTCGTTCATATAAAGATATACCCAATAATGGTTGCAAGTTTTTTATTATATAAATTAATGGATAATAAAGAACATTGTAATAACGATCAGTTTGCAAGACGAGTGCAATTAGTATGAAATAGTAAATAAACTTTTAATTTTATAACAAGCTTATAATAAAAAAAATATTAGACAGTGTTCACTTTGCACGAACCCCTAACGATATTCCTCGTAATACTAACGACAGCTCTCGCGTTGTATGATATGCATCATCGAATCGAAAAGTTGCAGAAAATATAAAAATTATGTACAACTCGCTAGGTAATTAAACTGATCGCTCGATGTCGATGATAATGACAAATATTGATATTACCGTCGCATTGGGTGATATTTACAATAAATGTATTAAACTATGGAGGTTATCCACAGAAAAACGAGTGCGCACTTATTCTCTCATCGTTTGCATATCACAATATCGTCTGTATATGAATGTTTGATATCTCTTAAAATATATATATATTTTTCTATCATATATAATATATATCTCTTGAACTTTGAAGGCGGTTCGTGAATCTTTATCTACATCAAACTCTTAAGCGTAAATCGTAACGTTCATTATAATTTGTATATCATACACTATAATTATACATATTTGTTCATAAAAATAGATAATCGAATTTTCGTAAAAATTTGTTAAAAAAAAAATATATATTATAGTCACGTTACTATAGCAATTTAAAGAATAATACACACATTTAACCATTGGTGAAATCATTTGGACCAATGTAGAACGGACTACTTTATCCGTAAAGTGTCCCAAACAAAAATAAATCTCTATCCGAGAAAAAGTCAACGATAACAGGCATGAAGTTTAAATAATTCTCTATTAGCGAAACTCGTGTTACATTCCTCGCAGTAGTGCTTAATAGTATCGATCAGTGACGTCGAGATCTTTTTCGATATTTTACCTCTATTCGTAATATTTCGAAGACTCGCTAATTTCCTGGCAGATACTTCGTTATCTAACTTTTTTACTTTTCCGTTTCTAAGATATAAGTTTTGACTTCTTAAATACTTAGGCGGATACTTGATCGCCGCGATTCGATTCAGGCCAATCTTCCCTAATTTATTAACCGACTTCCATTTGTTAGTTACACCGCAATCGTCGTCGCGTTGCATTCGATTCAATAAATTATGATATACCCTACTCTTTTGTACATTCGCGACTATATTGTTAGGCAGTGAATCAATTTTATCAACCAAATTGCCGGTATTGTCCTGTTCACAATTTGTTGACAGTATCGCGGATACGGGTTCATGGAGCGCCACTGTCCGATCCTCCGAATCATCCAGTTGCTCTTGCTTTATGGCGAATTTAATTGTGTTCAACAGCGGCACCGTTTCTGCAGGTATCTTCAATTCGTTCGCGACATTTCGTACTTTGCATTTCTTTATCGATCGATACTTGGTATCTTGCGATCTTTGGTTCTTATCTACGGACTTCGAGTACTTTCGTTTTGGTCCTATGTAATCGATTGTTTCTTTTCTCGGTCTCAAGATACGACTCTCGACTTCGTCAAATGCTTCAACTTTAATTTTCGTTGGCACAAATTCTGTCAACGGTATCGACAACTTCGAATCGGTGTTCTGGGATCGATTCTTCGTCGAAATAACGGAACGTTTTTTTTTCGTTCCCGTGTAGTCTATAAAACCTTTTCTGGGCCTTAAATTTCGAACGATAATTGCGGGTAGTTCCTCGTTCGCGTTAAATTTATCCCTTTTAGCTTCGTCGACCGTTGTTAAATTCGATTGTTTTCTATGCGTTTTATTCTCTAAGACATTTTTCTTCACAGCCCGTAATTCATTGGCGCAGCTATTTTCGTTTGAGGTAACGCTGTTTAGCCTATTGCACCTTGATATCGTATTTTTATAATTCGTACATACAGTTTGATTACTTTGGTCCGCTTTATCACAGTAACAACCGCAACGCGTATACGCCGTATACGTAATACCCTCGGAAATATCGTTGGATCGGACACCGTTTACTGGAAAAGTCATCGAGCTCACGGAATTTATGTAGTTGACATTATCGACTATGGGATTCATGTCGTACACGTCGTAATCCGGAGGCTCTAACTTAATCTTAACGTTCTCTATATGCACCATCGGTACACCGATCCTTTCCTTCGAGTCCTCCTTTCTCATCCAGGACAGCTGACTCTTCAAGTCCGCGTCCGTTTTCAAACAGTCCACGTAAAATTTGTGAAACTCTTCCAGTTTGTAACTGCACCGGTGACACATGTGCTTTGGCAACAAATCCATTTCGTGTACCTGCGGATACGATACAATCGATACAAGTTACGTACGATTACGAACGATCTTTGACAGAATCGTTCGAGAGAAACAAACAAGAGGGGGTACAGCACGCGTCTCTATGAATGAGTGAAAAAATGTACGCGTAAGGGTACGGAAACGGTCACTGATTTGTTTTGAATACAATCCTGGAAAAAGTGTACTAAATTATGCGTTGAATATAACGTAATTTGTCGTAACATATCGCGGGGTGTAATTACGTTCCATTCGTTGCAACTGCAACTTTTTATGCGTACAATAATACAAGGAATAAAAAATAACGAAATAATGTTCTACCGGTTCTAACTGGTTTAACGATCAACCCTTGTCAATGTCGAACATTATTCTGAAATGTGAGATGTTTACTATTTCAGGTACCTATCTATTGGAAGGAAGAAAGTTCTTTTGTTTCTCACTCTAGTTTACGAAGCTTATGGAATTTATGTTCGTTTAAACATATCTATCATGAAAATAAGGGGATAGAAACGACCGCGTACGTTTCAGAATTATGCAATACGTTAAAAGTGTTTATAACGCGTATTGGCGCGAAGTAACGATAACCTCACTTTTAGCGTTATAAACACGAGTAGTGTAACATTTAGAAATAAATGATAGAAATCTCAAATTTGTAGTCTGTCACGAGTAACGCATTTAGTAAAGGAAGTAACGTCCGAACATTAATTTGCATCGGGATGAAACTGTTGCGTCTTCATACTTCGCATTTTGTAGTACGACTCGAAGCGAAAAGGTGGTTCAGGAGGGGGCGTATATGATGTCAGAAAATGCCGTCAAAAATACGCGTAAAATTCGTAATAGACAATATGAGAATTGAAGAGAAAAGAACGATGACGTACCATGACTGGTAGAATGGCGTTGATTTTCTTCACGTGGCTTTCATTCTTGTCGAAAATATTAATCGAGATACCGGATTGTTTGCCGCAAAGACG